GAAGAAGAAGAAGAAGAAGAAGAAGAAGAAGAAGAAGAAGAAAGAAGAAGAAGAAGAAGAAGAAGAAGAAGAAGAAGAAGAAGAAAGTTTGGTACGTAGCTTTACACCACTTGATGAGGAGGAGGAGGAGGTGAGGTCTTACTACTTTTTTTTATTGACTGCGCTTACGCCAAAGTTGGGGCGGCCCTCTCGACACCGTGAACTCTCAAACTCCCTCCTCTCAAGGGTTTCGCCGGGACGGAGTGGAGACGACGCTACATGACCGGGCAGGTCCGCCCCCCACACACATCCACCACCATAGCGGCTCTTCACGGAGCCAATGCACAGAGCAATACACTCCACCACCGCCACCGCCACTACCACTAGGGCTGGCCAATGAGCCGCTTTCACAAAATCCGGATAATATTATTGCTAGTGTTGAAAACAATCAGGAAACGACAAATGCAGTTTTGGGACACCTGAATAGACATAAGGGTCTTGAACATTTAGCTCTCACTGGCAAAATTAAGGGCAAACGATGCACAGAACAACATACGTAGGAAACCTAAACAAATAAGTAACTGGGAAAGATCAGGAAAACGTAGATTTATTGGGAGCATCCGAGCAAAGTAATGAATGGAGAACCATGATCGCCGATGTCTTTCGCAGATCTGGCACTGGATGATGATAATGACCTCCTCGTCAATTAATTTGTTGTAACTGCTTCGGCAATAAAATAACCACTTCGTCAAACGGATAAGAATTACTTTTAAAAAATGGATGCACTCACTTCGGCAAACAGGTAACAAAAGAGAGATAAAAGAGTCTGAATTTGAATAACGTTTCATTGAGAATTTTCCTGTTATCCGGATAGGTTATCCGGATTTGTCCACCACTACCACCACCACAGTCGAGCGACCGACACTGCGCGCCGCCCGCCGCCCGGGAGTTAAAGAGAGAGAGATAGATAGAAAGAGAGGGTGATAGGGAGAGGGAGAGAGAGAACGAGAGAGAAGGGAGAGAGAGAGAGAGAGAGAGAAGGGAGAGAGAAGAGAGAGAGAGAGAGCGAGGGCGCCGGTGTATACGCACGCGGTCTACTTTCCGCTTGCTGCACGCTTCAAGACAGCCGCGGATCTTGCGGCTGGTGTTATCGGCATTGATCATACCGTTCGTTCACGCTGGTCCGTCTCTGATCGGCTGGACGGGGAATCAACAGTGGTGGAATTATTACAGGACAACACAGAAGGAAGAAACACCACGACACGACAGCAGAGGAACGGGAACAGAACATCGTCATCTTTTTTTTTTCTTTTGAGAAATAAAGGACGCAAAAAGGAACAGAAGTGTGCGGCAGTGTATACTTATTATTTATTCGCGAGGCAGTTGGTAATTCATCGCTGTATTTCATATTGTGCCGATCTGTCGTTCTTCTCTTGAGGCGGTGTAAGGAATACGGATCTGTGACAGCGTGTAGGAAATACGTTTTGGTAAGAGTGTCACAGAATCGGCTGTGAGAATTGTAATCACGACTTGGGATATTTTGTCAGTTAGACCCGGATTTGTCAAGGTAAATAGGTTTTTATTTTATCTCGCGACACAGCCGAATAAACTTCCCAGGTGTGCTGAGAGTGAACAAGTGTGTACCTCTGCTCAATCCATTCATGACCGGTGTGTTGTCACTACACCTCATCTCGATTATAATTCTGGATTACAAAAGACTGCTGTTGTCTTAGTGTCTAGGGTCATCAAGGTTATTGTGTGTCTTGTGGTCGCACTATTCATTCAGAGAAAGTATTCCCAGGATTGTTTTATACTCATTTTTTTCCTAACGGATATTATGATGATGCTTGTGTGGTCCGTGGCCACAGCGTGTGTACGTCCCTCTCTAAACGGTAAGTCGGGTGGGATCTGTTTCCCCTTGACGTAGTGGGGGTCATCCCTCGCTCGTCTGTCCACTGTCCAGCTGAGTGACCGCTGGCTAGTCGCGTCCCCCCGCCCCCAGGCCCGACCCTGTGTCCCCAGGCCTCAGTCAGGGTGAGCCGGTGTGCTCCACCCGCCCGGGCGTCCACCATTGCGCAAGACGTGCATCTGTTGGCCTCTACCGACTGCGCCGCCGGACAATCCTTCGGCGACGTAGCGGTGGACAGCGCCAAGAAAACCACCACGATCACCACCACCACCACCACCACAAGTACCACCGCCACCACCAACAACAACTACAACACCACGACCAACAACACCAACAGCAGCAGTAAAAGTGACTGCTTCAGAGACTCTGTCTGCCCTCATTGCTGCCACGGGGGTAACACGGATCGTAATAATAATTATTATGACAACAGAAAAACGAATGACAGCAACACCACCAACAACAACGGCTTAATTCCGAGTTGCACCAACAGGATCAACAGCAATTGTAGCAAACGCAACTTCAAAAGCAACAGCAACAGCAGCAGCAGAGGTAGCAGCAACAGCAGCAGCAGCAGCAAAATCAACAGCATCCTCAACGGTTTTAGCAGTTCCA